TTTTAGCGGCCTCTAGTGGTGATGTTTTAGATTGCAACCAAATTTTACAAGAGCGCTCGTGCTCGAACTCATAGACAATACCGTCTATTACGCAAATATCTCGGCGAATACTAGACGGATTCGGCGAGCACCAAGCTCGTTGGGACCATCTAGTCGAGCTGAAAAGAACCATATAAGGTCCATAGTTTTTGGTGGTGTTTTCGTGGAGATATTAGCAGAAAACCATCGGGCGTGCTGCAAAATTGCGGACGCCGGTGACGTCACGATCTCAGAAGAAAATCGCTCGTATCTCTGGAACGCAAAGACCCAGAGAGCTCAAATTCGGGGGAGGAGGTCCCAGGGGAACCCTTGCCCGAACGCTAGAGTGGCGGGCCTCGGGGATGCCCCCTACCGGATCGCCGTTCGCTGGGACCCCCGATTTCGAACGGCTATAACTCGGGGAGCGGGCGAGTTGGACCTCGGGGGTGGGCTCGTTCGAAAGCCCCCGTCCAGCACTACGAACGATTAGAGTCTTGGGAATATTGATCAAAGATTGACTGAGATATAAGCCGAAAAATGCGCGCCTTTAACCGGACGTAACTTCCTGACCGTCTACAATAGACTGTATATAAGGAGAGAGGCTCGGGAGCGCGCATGCACGTCACATCCGTTGGATTTCGCGGTAAATCCGACCCGGAGACTTTACATAGAAATAGGAATACTGGCCTTCAGAGGTAATAGCAACACTCGACAAGTGGATCATTTTAATGTGTGATTACAACCCCTTCACACACAGGCAATAAAAAAAGGATTCATTTTAGTAGAAAAGTTACATAGAGCACCTTTAACAAAAAGAGTTAAATATTAAATATAAGTCACTATTTAACTTATTTTTTATTGTGTATATTCTGTAATTGAGATTTATTATTCTATTGCTATAATTATAGTATTATTAATAAACTATATTATCAATATTTTTATGATTGTATTATTGTACTTATGATATTATATAATTATACTATTCATTACTATTTTATTTGCTGTATACTATTTGTTTATTTTATTGACTAAACTATTTACTATTACTTCCCACTTTATGTTATATTTACTATTTGCATTGCACTGTAGTTGTACCATAGCATAAGTATTATCATAAAGGATCCATCAGTTATCTTTGTTATTGCTAAAATCTGGTCAATCACAGAAAATGCTTTTTCCACAATAAGAAAACTTAAATTATATCTCAGTATGGGGGTCTTCACCATTCTTATCCAAGAATAAAAAAAGCCAGATCCATGAGCCTGAGCTTTGACCATTCTTTATGAAAAAAAATATTTTACAAGTCTAACTATCGAGATTTGAAATAACTAGAGATGGAACTTTTTGTACACCACAAACCACTGAAATCGTTTGATAAATGTAAAAACAGTTTTTGTTTTTATCCAGAAAAAACGCAGCTCACCCGTTTACTTGCATTTGATTACAGTGCAGTCTTGCCCTCCGCAAAATGGCGGACCCGTTGACGTATCGCAGCAACGTTCCAAAGTAGCCAATAGGGCGTCTATGTATTTATTGTCTATGAATGGCACTGGCAGGTTTTTCCACACTGTCTGCCAACCAGAGTCCGTCTAGAGGACAGAGAGGCAGTGAGCTGCGGTTGAGCACTAACCACCTCCCTGTGCTCCTTCAGATCAGGACAAGCAGCCTAGCAAAAACATTTAAGGATGAAGCATGCTAAAGCTGCCACATTAGCATTCCAATTTAAACACCCTTAAAGTGTCGCATCAAGAGCCAAAACACGTAGAAATACTGACTGAAAATCTTGGCCTCGTATCTGAGGACCTTACTGCTCATATTTATGGCAGTATTTCTTAGATGGGGGTTTGCAAGGTAATGTATTTAACTAATCATGTTCTTTGAGCACAAGCAACTGTAAACAAAGTAGGCCTATGTGCAAGTGTAAAAGTGTTAATGTTTATGCATTCTGTATTAATAAGAACAATAGGAAGCCACTGCATGTGTTGATTAAATTGTTTGCGTGAAAATAAAAAACGATGATATCAAAAGAAAGTGAGAGAGAAACAACAGATTGGGAAGTGTGTAAATATTTCTGAGCTTCTGTAGATTTAATAAAAAAATAATACATAATATTTACCGTAACAATTATTTTATTAGTTTGAGTTGTGTGAATTTTTTTGTCAAGGATATAATTATTGTGTTTGAATATTATATGAATACCACATGTAAAGGTTATTGAATCCAACATTAAGCAGTTTTACATTTACAGGCATTCCCTACCTAAATACTTCCCATTTGCCCTATTGCCAGCATGCACTAGATATGAATCAGCAATATAGTAGCATTGTTTGACCATTTTCACATAAATTTCTTACAGATAGCCTACCCTAATAAAATCATTACTCCGGTAAAAGTATTAAGTAGCCTACTCCTTTTCGATTTAACTTGAGTACAAAAGTACTTGATTTTTAATGTAGCCTACTTAAAGCTGCAGTCCGTAGTTTTTCCTCTTTGTCGCCATCTCTGTTCTAAATCTGCAATTGCAGTTATTCGCGGAATCCTCGGCATGGCACAGCGCGGATGAATCCAATGTTTTGAGGAGAGTGTGCGGCTGTCAGTCACCGCGCCGGTGTGGATTCTGTCATTCGGAATCACAGATTATACTTTTTGGACACTAAAAAATACGGCTTCCAGATGTAAACACACATCAAATAGACGTCTCCGTGATGTAGGCTACTAGTTGAATAACAGACCAGCCGGCCTGATTTGTAACTCAGCTGCCGATTTTGCATGTCCACACCTTGCTGATCGCTGTATAATACGAATCACTCAGGGGGGGTGGTTAGGGTTTTCTCACAGGGGTGAACCATAGACTGTAAAAAAAGGGGTGAACAAACCGGTTGATTGAAAAGAATGAGCTCGTTTACAAATCAGACACTGTTATCGTGTGTCAGAGCGAGTGACAATTTCTTCAGTTCAAAATAACAAGGAACGACGTTTTTATTAAATGTAGTGGAGTAAAAAAAAAACCCGACATCATGCTTTGGAATGTATAGTGAGGTAAAAGTTTCCCAAAATAAAAATACTTCGATAAACTACAGATACTTGAAAAATTTAGGCTACTTAGTACAGTAACGAAGTAAAAAGATTTTGTAACTGTCCACCACTGAGAATAATAATTACTCTGTCAGATACTCGACTGAGGCTTTAGCTTGTTTTTAGTTACTTTGACAGAGGCCTTGCCTCTTTTGTCATCACTTCATTCAGAGAAACACTGCCTGAGTTTACTTGGCTAATGTTTGGTGAAAAATTGTCCCCATTAGCTAAATTGGACATAACCTCCCTTTGGGGACATCATTCTAAATTAATATAAAATAATCTGAATTAGCGTGATATTTATTTAAAAAAAAGAAAAAAGAAAAGCCTGTGGTATGTCTACTATTGTGCCAGAAACAAACATGAAGATTTCTTCATTAACCATATTCAGCATTATACAATTAACAATCATGTCTTCAGTTTAGTTAAAGGGCATTACTAACAATTATAAGAATACTACAATCTTTTTTTCTGGTGCTTCTCATTCAATTTCTGAATAAGAAAAAAAGCAACTACTCTGAAACTGTAACGTCACCAGCTGGAGTGCCCTTGAGAGCCACCAGGGGCACTCCACATCAGACTATTGTCATTCCCTCACAAACTACACTGTTTCCTATAACTCACTGCCCGGACTCATCATCCATTATCACATTCACCTGTCTCTCATTATTTTGTTTAGCTCACCCCATATAAGCCTGGTTTTCTCATTCATTATCTGCGAAGTCTTGATAGTGTTACACTGCAATTCCGAGCATTCTCCCTAGTTTCATGTCTCTTGGTTTTTGGATTTCTTGCCTGTTCCGTGGATTACTCTTTTGCCCGTGTTCCCTGCCTTGTTGTGTTTGTTTGTTTGTTTGTATGGACTGCGTTTGACCCTGCCTGTACTTTGGATTACGTCTTTGGATTACCCTGTTCAATAAATACTGCATTTGGATCCACAACCTCTGTGTCTCAGTTCGTGACAGAAACACTGAAAGAGATGGAGAGATAAAGAAAGACATTAAATTGAAAGTGTGGAATTGATGAATGGGCTAGATTATGCTGGCAGCATATTTTTATTCCACTGAGATTCAGATGAGCTGACTGCACATTTAATAACAATAATGAAACACATCTATGCAAATGTGAGTGTGTGCATCCATGCTTGAATATTATACTGTCTCTTTCTATTAGTTTTTACACCTCAGCAACACTGGCAAAACGTTTTCACTGTCTTCAAGAAAAGTTAATTTCCTGCCTCACACACTGTTAATAGAAAAATCCCAGCTGTCTAAATTTACAAAGCAGGACAGGGAAGTTCCAGTTTGGAAAACAAAATATTTCACTACCAAAACGAATAAAAAAACAACAAGATAAATGCAATAAATAGCTGTAGTTTTAGAGGATACAAGGAATTGTTTTATTCACAGTAACCAAATTGGTGGCAGAAAGGAGTGAAAGTCTAAAACAGGTCTTCTAGTGATTCTATATCAACTGCAGTTATGATGACGTCAACATTGTCCTACATGTTGAATAACAACAGAAGTCCAATGGTATATTTTCAGTATCATAATTATAGTCTTTTAGACATTTTCTAAAGTGTAAGCTCCAATCAAAGCATTTGTTTTGAGTACTGGTAAAAAAAAATAAAAGGAAAAAGATTGCAGGATTAAAAACACCACAATATGACAGTTTATAGCACTGAAAAATTCCATATTTCAACAGAGTTCATACATTTACAGCTTTTGTTAGTTTTCTGGTACCCAGAGAATTGTCCTTTTCACTTAAACACTGCAACAGCACAGTTAACTATTTCACTTGTCTTTGTTCATTTTGGTATCATTATAGCTTTCAATTTTATCATCTATCAAAATGTGGTCTGCCTGAATCCAAAAAGGAGATCAAGTGGTGATTGAACGCACATTTGAAGTAATGAAAATACAATATTCTCAAAACCACAGAGATCTGGAAGGAGAGGAGGCTAAAAGCAAAACAATATCTGAAATGACACCCTGAGTCCATATTAGATTTGATAAACCTTCCCGGATTAATGTTATATTGTGGTCATCGTAAATATTTAATTTTAATAAAGATATGATTTTCTTAGCTTTCCCTTTATTTTCTGAAAGACATTGTTTGTCATTTTCAGTGAAACAAAAAACATGATGTTAAAAAAACAAACATAAATTGCCTTTCAAATCACAGAAATACTTTTTTTTTTTTTGTAGCTGAACATGAACATTTGGCTTCGCCATGGTTATGTATCTGTTGCTGTTGAACCTACATAGGCATCTATCAGCAAATGTTAAAGCAGGCACTGACATAAAGTGTTGGCTCTTGTAAAATAAGATGGAAATGTAATTTCAGCGCCTCATAGAGACTTAACAGCATGTGGAATGAGTTATGTCAGATTCTTTTAAGAAACTTTTTATGACTGATATAGTTCAACTGCTCATTCTGCTTAATTGTAACTTGTTTGTGTTTGCACTTTTCCTCCCATGAGTTTGTGTAAAAAAACAAACCTCTGAACCCTAAGCAAGTACAGCCATGTTGTCGGGCAGGCTCAAATGAAGTGGAAAGCACTTTAAATCTATAGGGACATGACGGCCAGTGTTTGCGTGTCTGTTTTCTTCAAGCTTCAGAACTGTTTGGGCACTTGTAGAGTGGGTTGGAGAAAGAGAGCTTGCTTTCCTTTGAGCTGGAGACCTGAATAGCACACACAAGCAAAGACAGGCCCAGATGTACAAATGAAAAGCACTGATTATACTTATAGTACATTTACACAGAGCCAGCAATTGCATCCCATCATTATGATGAGACATTATGATATACATTTCCTCAGCTGCCTTCTCTTCTCTGGTACCTTATTTTTATGTATTACTCAAGCAGAAGATTAAAGGTATTACTCGTATTATTAAAGGTCCTTGTCCTCCGATCCCAATTCATATCACGGCATATCAAAACTATAACTGCTGCCAGTAAAATTGAGTGCAGAGCCATTAAATAGTGCACAAACTGCATTGTACATCATCGGTATGTCTTTTAAAAGTTAAAGTGTTTTTTAATGGTCAGTCACTATGTCAATTATGACAACTGGAGTTTCATACCTTTGGATCATCTTTCCATGGGTAAACGCTGATGTTTAGTTGAGGATGTACAGGCCACCTTGGTCTAATGTCAAGGGAGGGCAGCTGGAACAAGAATTAGCCATTTAACTTAAAGGGGTCATATGATGCGATTTCTTGTTTTTCTTTTTCTTTAGTGTGTTATGTAGCTGTTTGTGCATGTATAAGATCTGCAGAGTTACAAAGCTCAAAGTCTCAAACCTAAAGAGATTTTCTTTGTAAAAGTTAAGGCTCAGCCACGCCTTCCTAAAACGCTTCATTCAAACCCCCATGGTTTTATGTTTACATAGTGTTCTGAGTGAGCAAAATGTGGAGAAATCTCAGTTAGCCATTAAAATATGCCAGGCTTCACTGAAAACTGCCCCTCACTGCTCAGGAGAGTGAAAATGACTGCATGTCGCATGCAGAATACAGCGAGTTTAGCACTGAGTGTTAAATGAACATGCTCACACCAACACACACACACAAACTTAGGCTTACGGGTCAATATTTCCCATCAACAGTGTGACAGAAATCTCTCTCACACCTGCAGAGTGGTTCAAATTACTGAATAACACTGTTCGCTCCAAAGTGGAAAACAGGCAGTAAGTGGAGAAAAAAAAAGAAAATGGAAAAAGAGTGTCTAGGGAATGTAAGGAGATAAATCCAACATATAAAACAAGGCAGTGAAAATGAAGATCTCTATTAATAAACAAACACACAATTGCATAATATAAGCTGTCAGAGAAATCAACTCATTTGATCATGAGATTTAAATATTAAGGTATATGACTGACCTTTTTCAGCAAGTCAAAGGTTGAGCTATCCAACTCTTCATTAGCAATAAGACCGGAGTCTCTTTTCAGTCAAGAAAAAAGCAGTCAATACCAACACATATATACAGACACTTTCTATGTAGAGTTCATCTTAATGTGAATGGACTTACTTGTGTGAATGTCTCTTTTGAAATAACCAGAACAAAATGACTCCAGTTGCAATGACTACCAGGATCACAGTTACACTTAGTCCAACACTGACAGCTGCAGAGTTCAAAATGACACATATTATTCTATATATATATATATATATTGTTGATTATCTGCATGGGAAAAAGCATACTCACCCATCAAATTACCTAGTTTACTATCCGGTATCACAGATGTTGTGGGAGTAAATGATTTTTCTTGGCAACGATTCCCAGTCCACTGTGATGGACAACTAGAGAAAGACAGAAAAACATCATTATTGCACAAACACGCACACACAGACTTTGAATGGCAGAGATGATTCAAAAGGGAATGCTGGCTCATCAACTTTCCAAAAGAAAGATAAATAAATAATTGCATGAACATTTTCTTGGAGACATCCACATGAGCTTAATATCAGCAAGCCTTCCCTTGGTTCCTGAAATGAGAAAAAGGCTCTTGGCTCCTTTCTTTTACTTTCTCCCTGTGTTTTCTTTTCCTTTTCTTGCCTGTGGGGAAGATCTTTCCACATAAGGAATAGTCCTTAAGCTATTCTGAAACAACCTCATGCACACAGATACACTAGTGTCTGTGAACAAGCAACTTAAGTAATTCTCGTAATTTATTAGCGATGACATACACCATTTCAAAGAGAAAGACAAGGAGAGAGAAAACATTTGAGGCTTAGGGGGGTTGATTCAAACGAAGAAAGATTGTGTTTCTTGGCACAAGGAGAACAGTAATTACAGAAAGCATGCTTTGTCAGTCCACTGAAAAGTACATGTTTAAACTCAGGAGCCAGGGTGCTGATACTCTTTGTATAACTCGCTCACATTTCAATGTGATATTCGGCTTGCACAGTAGAACAGCATGAATAATTCAATGAAAGATCTCCAACAGGGTCTTGTCATCTACCTGACCATGACCGACAGGTGAAGGTGGGGATTTTTTTCCCCAGGTAAAACTGAAAGGAGATTTTAGGTCTTTTTAAACCATAATTACAAAGACGTTTAGCAAACACTTTCTGTAGTCCAACAAAAATCACAATATATTTGGCCTCCATAACAAACCTACAGTATACGTTTCATGAATTTGTATTACTAGCAATTACCAATACATTTCAATATAATGTTAATAGGCATGAGTACAAAAGGAGTGATTACTAAGATAAAACAATGTACAATGTACTTATTGTGTTGTATTGCAAAACACGTTAGCTGCTATTGAGGTGGGATGCATGTAAGGTTAGGGACAGGTTTGGTGGCATAGTTGGGTTTAAGGGTGGGTTAAAGTGTAAAGGAAAGCATCAACAGTGTAATTAATTAAATTAAATTAAACATAGTGTACATGCATGTTTATACATTGTACTTCTAAGAGAATTGTATCAAATTATTAATTTAAATGTCAGTACTGTAGTTAAAGACACTTAATATAAAGTGGTACCAAATACACAATTCCTTTTGAAAAATTTAGTATTTCATTATTATTAATCTTTTGGGATCCACTTCTGTTGCATATATTTATTTATGTGTGTGCATTAGGGATGTGCATCTCCATAGCTGAGGCTGATGCGATACGCATCTCCATAGCTGAGGCTGATGCGATACGCATCTCGATGCATAGCCAACGATACGATACATTAAAGATACACATAAGCAGCTACCGATGCGATGCAATACGATTCACTACTATTACGATGCGGTGCGATCCGATTTCGATTCGATTCAACGCGATGCGATTCAATGTAATATGATGCAATGGAGAAAAATATAATGCAATTCAATATGGTATAGATAGTTAACTTTTATTTCTTTTATTCAGACATACAGCAAATCATAAAGTAGCTTAAGTGCCATCTGACTTTTAATGCATGGTTCTTTCATCTTTTTTCACAAAACCAAAAGATTAAATAAAAGCAGGTGCTGTTTTAACAAACAATTACAAAAATAAAAAAAAACTTTCACAAACAGGTCTTTCATAACTGTATTCAAATGTAAAAAAAAATAAAAAATGAAAAACTATTATTGGCAGTCACAGGCTGCTGTAAACCAGATTAACTCAAATGTCCTCCTTTAAGGTTTAAAGACTCTCAGGACACACCTCGCACTCCGTAGTGTTGTGATACGTCATATTCATGTAGCAGCTGCAGCAGTCGTGATGGTCGTGATGAGAGAACGCGCTTGAACAACAGTTCAGAAAGGAGAAATCAATCTAGTCGACCTGGATGCGCGAATGAGGCAAAATCGTGTCCATCGCACCGCGCTAAACGCGTCTCGTGCCGCAGGACCTCCAGACCCGCGTCAACGCGTCTTTAGATTGACTTAACATGGAAATCACTCGCTACAGACACTCAATTTGCGTTCGGTGTGAACGCAGCAGTTACATCCGATGCACACTTATTTAAATCAATGCATCGCATCGTTAGCTTTTATGCCGATGCACCGATGCGAATCGGTGAATCTTACCATCCCTAGTGTGCATTATTGTGCTTGAGGAACGTCTCAGGTCACGACTGTAACCCTGGTACCCTGAAGAGGGAACAAGACGCTGCGTCGAGACCTGTGGGAATGCCTCTGCGTGATTGCATCGTGAAGCATGTGTGAAATCAGTCCAATGGCGTGACAGAACGTCATAGGCGGGTGACGTCATTAACCAGGAAGCTACAAAGCATACCTGGAACAAACAGCGCTAACTTCTGAAAGGGCTGAAGCAAGTCGATCACAGGCATGCAGGGAGTATGGCAGGGCGACGTCTCGTTCCATCTTCAGCATCACAGATGTCTTGAAGGGAAACTCCCAACCATACTCTTAGTGGAGTGGGCCCGAACAGCCATAGGTGAAGGCTGACCAGCCGACTCGTAAGCAAGTGAGATAGCCTAGACTACCTAGTTACTCATCTTCTGCTTAGATGCTGGGCACCCTTTCCTGGGTGACCCAAAACAGACAAATAACTGTTCTGACTTTTGCCACAGGACAGAAGGCTCTGCATCCAATGCCCTTACTGGGCACAGCAGATTAAGTTTCTCTTGGTCTGATGTTTAAAAGGGTGGAGGACAGAAGGCCTGCAGCACAATAGGCCCTGCGATATTAGTGGGGAGCATAGGCATATTACCCAGCCTCGGGTGAAGAAAGGCTTTCACCATTCCCGGTGCAAATTCTAGGCACGAAGGAGCTACCGACAGGGCCTGTATGTCTCCAATTCTTTTAAGAGACGAAATAGCAAGGAGGAAAACAGTCTTAAGGGTGAGGAAATTTTCTGGAACCTCCAGGAACCCTTTGGCCTTCCATTACAATGGTCAAATCCCAGGCCGGCTGGGAGGAAGTGTTTGAGTGCAAGAAACACAGACCTGCCACAGACCTTGAGCCGAGCGACCACTCATGATCGCCCCCCAGCCCATGAGGGATATATCCATTGTTAGCGTTACCCGACGACAAGAAGCCCCCAACACAGGGCCTTGGGAAAGAAACCAAGGTTTTTTCCACATAACCAAGGCACGTAGACATAGCCGCATGACCTTGATCATGCAAAGCGGATTTCCCCTCAGGGAGAACCCCTTTGGTTTTGAGCCACCACTGCAGGGGCCTCATGTACAGCAAGCCAAAAGGTATCACGTTGGACGCAGCTGCCATGAGACCCAACAGTCCTTGAAACTGTTTGAAGCTGAGAGAATCGAAGCGATTGGAGTGGGAGAGAGACGTGCCTGCATCGTTGTCGAATCCCAAACCACGCCTAGAAAAGTGGTTCTCTGAGCTGGAAGAAGCACACTTTTCTTGACGTTGAGCCTTAACCCCACCTTCCAATGTTGAACTTCCATGTGATCTGATTGAGCTAGAATCAACCAATCGTCGATGTAATTCAACACGCGAATGCTCTGGTGTCGCAGAGGAGCCAGAGCTGTATCCACGCATTTCGTGAATGTGCGGGGTGATAAAGCTAGGCCAAAAAGGAAGAACTCGATATTGATACGCGTCGCCCCCGAAAGCGAACCTCAGGAACTTCCTGTGTTGTGGAAGGATGGAGACGTGGAAGTATGGGTCCTTGAGATCTATTGTGACAAACCAGTCCTCGGTCCCGATTTGTGACACGATTTGCTTTAAAGTGAGCATCTTGAATTTGAGCTTCTTTACAGAACGATTTAGATGGCACTGATCTAAGATTGCACGCAGCCTCCCATCCTTTTTTGGAACTATAAAGTACTGGCTGTAAAACCCGGATTCTCTGCTGGGAAGAGGAACATGCTCTATGGTCCCTGTGTCCAGCAGAGCCTTTACTTCTTGCTCCATGACCAGAGCCAGCTCGGCGTCTACCACTGTGGGTAGAACCCTTTTGAACCTGGGCGGGTGAGACCAGAACTGAATTCTGTAACCCTTTTCTACCGTCAGCAGGGCCCATTGAGATATATTCGGCAGTAGTTTCCATGCTGCCAGAAATTCTACTAAAGGAACCAGTCTCTCAAGACTGGCCTCTGGTGTTACTTGAACAGCCCTGAAGCAACGAACCTGCAGGGAACAGCCAAACTAACTTCTCTGCGAACCTCCTCAGAGGATCACTGGAGACCGCTGCACCCCAAAGCACATAAGGTGGCGGGGTTGGCAGACCAGCCCCCTGAGGGCACAGAGGGGAAATGGGCACCATATAATGAGGTGTTGACCACTACACATGGGGGGACTAACCTTAGGAGACTTCTCCGCTGAAGTCTTCTTAGAGATAATAACAGTCCTCAGATCCGCTTTATTCTTTCGAGCGACGCCCGACCCCCGGTGTTTTTGCGGGGGGCAACACTCTGCTTTTGCTGCGCTCGATGAGAGCAGCTTGTAGACGCCCAGCAGCCTCAGAGATGCGAGGGCGGAGAGAAATAAACTTCTGGAACGCCGCCGCCTGTTTCTTTGACTCCTGAAACCTCTTGATGACTGAGGTGACAGCATCGACAAAGAGGCCAGGAGGGGAAAGCGGGGCATTCTGAAGAAAACTTTTATATTTTTCTTTTATTCCAGACAGATTTAATCACGTTTCTTTCCATGGCCACCAGGGCTGCCATAGTGCGGCTGACTAAATTGGCCGTCTCCTTGGTGGCCCAGAGAGATAAATCTGTAGTCCGACGCAGTTCTCTAATGGCGTCAGCGCTTACTTCCTCGCCCTCATCAATTTCTCTTAGCAGGGTGGCCTGGTATGTCTGCAGTATTGACATCGTGTGGCCTAATACGCCTTACCTACCAGCGCTGAAGTAGCTCTTAATGGCTTGGTGAATAGTGTCTGGGATTTAAGGGACGATGTTGACTCAGGGGAGAGATAGCTCGCAAGGTTCAGCCCTGGGCATCGCCCCATAGCCATAGTGTTTCAGCCCCATGATGTTTGAATAATTGGAGGTCTGGGGGCTGAAAACACGATAAGATACAGATTTCTTCCACCTGTCTTCGACACCTCGGTGTGGTGGTCGGAAAAAGAACAATGGGGAACGCATGCTGAAGCGCCCTCCTCAAAGAGTGCCCGGCGGGAGTGGAGCGTTCTCAAAGATTGCCGCTCACAATGCTTACAATCAGACCCTTAAGGGCTGATTGGGCATGCTCCGCTCCCATACAAACAACAGACAGCTCGTGTGTATCCCCACCCATGATAAAACAAGCGCAGGGAGAGGCACACGGCTTGAACTGTTGTTTGATTGCCATTTATATATATATATATATATATATATATATATGTCACGTTTACAAAGGTGAAATAACTCCCGAGTAATAGAGAGAAATGCTGTTTCTGTTCCAAAAAATTCACATAGAGCACTTCCATGTATGCTTTATAGTTTCCTGGTTGATGACGTCACCTGCCTATGATGTTCCGTTACGCCATTGGACTGATTTCACACATGCTTCATGACGCAATCACGCAGAGGCGTTCCCACAGCGTCTCGACGCAGCGTCTCATTCCCTTGAAAGGGAACTCACATGCACACTGGTCCATTCTCCTTTACTGCACATCTCCCTCCATTGAGACAGTACCCAAAGGGACACTCTGAAAAATAAAACACATCCACATTTAATGTTGACTTATAGATAGGATTTTATTGTTCAGTATGATGATTATTTTATCATAAGGACCTCATTTCACACTAGTAATTAATGCAGATCTGGGGTGATTACATTGTGGTTTAAGTTATGGGCTGGCAGCGTAAGGGTGCAGGTTCCAACACAGTTGGGGGCAACCCTTAACAAGAGAGTTACAGAGAGTCTCCATTAATGATGTGTCCTTGACCGAGGCACTTCACCCCCACGGTGCTCCTGGGCCACAGCTCCTTTAATCAGATGATTGCAGGGATAGTCCCCAGAAGAAAGTGCCCACTTAATGAGAAGTAATATATTATGTAACTCCTAAAAAGTCACTTTAATGTAATGGGCTTTATGTTATAAAGCCATAAATTTTACCCTTCATTTAAGGGAATTAAGTCAGAGAAGCACCTACTGATATTTTTCTTTCCATCTTTTTATACATTGTCTGATGAACAATGCTTTGTGACTTAATACCACAATCACCCAGATGATTATGAAAACACTATAATAATGAAATCCCAGAAATATACTTCCTAAAAAACAAAATCACATACATGATTGACCGTTCAAAAAGTTTGGGGTCAGTAAGACTTTTGATTTGGAAAAAAAAAGTATACTTTTTTTCAGCAAGGATACAGTCAATTAATCAAAAGGGACAGTGAAGATGTTACAAGAGATTTCCATTTCAAATAAATGGTGTTCTTTCTACACTTTATGCAAATTTCTATTTCCAACAGATCACCAGAATAACTAATGATAACTTATAATGCCTTAAATTAGAAATCGCAAAACTGTTTTTTGAGTGCAAAAAAATTAATATAATAAGAAACATTAACTGATTTAAAAAAATTACATGAATAATATAACCCCTTTAAATACAAAAGTTAGATGAATGAATGTGTTTGTGTTACCATAGCAGCTGGACTCATCAGAGTGAAAAGGATGGCAGTCAACAATATTGTTGCATCGACTCTGATACGCAACACACTCTGCAGTCGCCTCACACACTAGTTCTCCTTCTTCACATATCTTAACCGCTACAGAGACACAGAGAGATAATTTCATCTGTTTGTATTACAGCTATGATGTACTACAATGTATTTTGAACAGATTTGTGCTTGGGTCTTACGGCATCCATATTCATCTTCTCCATTTGGGCAATCTAAAACAGAATCGCAGTGCAGTAGTGCAGGAATACAGCTGTTGTTCATGCAGCGGTATTCTCCTGTCTCACACCCTGTTTGAGGTGGCGTAGTGCCAGGAGCAACGCTCACACACATCTCCTCATCCGAGTGGTCAAGACAGTCCACCTCACCATCACAGTGCCAACTCAGTGGTATACACTCGAACAGATACAAACACTGGAAGAGCTCCATGTGGCATGTGTTTGGGATAGGGGTCACTGGACCTGAACATACACAGAAACAAAATGGTAAACCCAGTTTTCAATTTGGGAAGAGCTGAGAATAAAAAGCAATCAGCAGTTCTGTACCTCCAACAAGACATTCCCTAGTGAAAGAGAAGTCATCCACAGCAATGTCAGTCCACTGGTCAGCTCCCACTTCTGCCTGAATACTTACTCTGAAGGGTGATGCATTTGATAAGATCACATTAGCATACTGCCAGCTGTCTCCATGGTTTCCACAGGTTGCCCACATTAGTAAGGGTGTTCCACTGTGGCCCACGGTATACACCTGCAATAAAGTACACAGAATTCATAACACAGCCTTCAAAGCTCAGTGTTTTTTCAATATAAATTCATTGAACTCCTGCACAGTGCTCCTAAACCTTTGCAAGTGAAATACTGCCATATAATGCAAAAAGAAGAGGTGAATATACATATATATACACATATACGATTTTATACTCAGCAAGGATACATTAAATTCTTTCTTCTGAACTGTTCTTTTGAACTTTCCATTAATTTAGGAAATTCAGCTTTGCCATTACAGCAATAAATTACATTTTAAATATATTCAAATAGAAAACAGTTTTTTTTTCTATTTTACAATATTACAGTTTTTACTGTATTCTTGATCAAATAAATGCCGCATAAGAGAACTCTTTCAAAAACTTATTTTGTTAAAGCACATTATTCTCTCACCTTCAGCGTACCCATGTGATGTGAGCCGTACATGTGGAACCAAAAGCGCAGATGACATATACCAACACTGGCAGGAAACTCCAGCTGGGTTATTAAGCTGGCAATGTCTCCTTCTGTCTGGGCACTGGAGTTCACAAACAGGTACCCCCCTCCTCCATCTGAAAGAGTAAACCAATGTTGTCTTCACAGCATTAAATATTTACTTTATCAAGGATGCATGCTAGAATAGCTTTAATATGTTTATTAATCGAAGCAAAACACAGCGGCATATGTTACGTTTTTATACTTAAATGTTACATAAATCAATTTATAATAAATGTTCTATATGTGAACAATTACCATGAGGTATTTAACTTATGGAACTCTTTTTTTGGTAGCAACGTAGTTATTTATTAAAAAACTGGAGGTTTATTGAGACACATTTGTTTGTCTTTGCTTGTGCTGTTAGCTTGTTATCACATACAAAAATGATGACATTCCTTTGATTATAGGCACTATTACACTTCTAAATACAGTTCTCATTACTGAGTCTCACATAATAACTCTTCTGCACATTAAAGTCGTAATGAAACGCAAGTAGTGACAGATGATTTGTTCTGGTGGGGATTATTTAGTTCTATCCATTGGTTGTGGATTGGATTTTGAAATTTAGGAGGCAGATCTGGATGTGAGCTTGCAGTCATTTGTAAGAAAAGACCGGGTTTAGCGGATTAATTGATTGGAGAAGTCCAGCACACGTCACCAGAAAGAAATCTATCTTTTTACCAGAAGATCAAGTTCTGAGATAGATTAAAAATGATTGACTTTAAGACTTTTACACCACTACACCTCTACACATATTAGAAACAATTTCTTATCTTGTCAAAAAGGAGATTATATTATTATAGTATTATGATTGAGAGAAAGTAACAGCAAACATTAGATTTCACTGCACGACTCCACCATTTTACTCAGAGAAACACTCTGTACAGCAATTTCCTTGACTCTTTGTCTGGAATGAAAAATCATTAGTAGGTTCAGTAAATCGATCACCTTTTAGAGGGCAGACTCATTTTCACAATTAAAATAATGTACACTTAACACTTTCACTGAGAGACACTGATCTTTCAGCAGAACAGGGCATTAGTATATGAGGGGCAGAAATCCAGAGCTTAATTACACACACTGATAAAGTAGCTGGAAAATGGCTTTTGGTGATGGATTTTTCTGAGCTCCAACCCTTTGGTTTTTAAATCATGCAACCATTCAGATGATTCAGACAGCTGGCTTCAATTTTGTTTCATGGGAAATTCTAGGTTTTTTTTCTGATCATTTAAAGCAAAATAAAGCTTTTATGGTGTTACTCATGGGTGATATGTATTGAATAGTTTATATTACCCAGCTGATTTAAGAGCACTGTAAAGTTTAGGTTATACTAACTGGGGCTGTGGTCAGCTGATGGTCCTGTCCCATTATGCATTCTGCCATAGCCTATATCCCAGTCAAAGTCATTGTGAGGATCCTGAGACAGCTGACAGGTCTCCTGCCAATGGCCACCAGGCATGTCAAAATTACAAGCTCCTGGAGCAATCACTAACAGAACAAATGAAGAGTTGAGATGTTAGCTCCATACAAGAGACAATGTTAATAAATAGACAAGATTTTTAAGGTACTGTACTACTTAATGTACTTACTGCAGTCTAACTCATCGGACTCATCCGAACAGTCAGCTTTACCATCACACTCCAAATGATACTCAATACAGTTTCCATTATTACACACAAAATCTGTGACAGTGGGGCATGACCCAGGATGGACAGCCCCTGAAACGCAAGGAAATTCTTTCAGTCTCACTGATCCAAAACAGTGCAATTTTAAAAAAGAAATAAAAGGTCATCTAATAACAAAAATGAAAACATAAGACTTCTAACAATGAAAATATGTGAAATCCAAATGATGCGCAAGTATGACCGTATTCAACAAGTTCAAAATAGCAATAAAACATCATCCATCAAGAGCTTTTTCAGCAAGAATATCCTCAAATTATTTAAACATAAAATGACAGTAATGGAAGATTATTCAGGATAAAATTTGTCCCGTTTAATTCTCAAAAAACTTAATTCCATGGGGTGAAAAGCCATCTAGGAATTCCTTTCAAAGTACATTCTCACAAAGAAATTACTTATTCAAAATTGATTTTATTGCTCTGCTCCTCTTCACGCTTTGATAGAGCTAATCTATTTACACTGTTATTGTTTTAGCCTGTTACATTACAGACAGCTGTGAGTAAGTGTAGTTTAGTTGAATTAATGTACATAAAAAAAAAGAAGAAATTGGTGGAATTTAGTGAAGGCCCAGAGGAACCACGAATACAAAAGGGTCATGTTTCTTAGAAAAACAGCAAACCTCATGTTTACACATAAGTAGATGATAAAAGTCATGAAAAGTCATTTCTAATAAAAAACATTGTATTTGTTTAAAAAAACAATTAATTATGCTTCAGTCCACTACCGTTCAACTAAATTTAGAAAGAAGCCTGGACACAGATTGATTGGGTTTTATATCTCTGCTTTACACACTTCTTCACTAAAAGATCCACAAGCTCAAGTGTAATTACTGTGATTCAGAAGTGTCACTATGCAGATTAAATCTGACAATTTCGATGTCAAGCCTGAAAACCGAAAAGGGAACTTATTCTGACTTTCATGTTGTTCCCTGATGGCTTGTCAGAATTAGCTAATTTACATTTACATTTATTCATTTAGCAGACGCTTTTATCCAAAGCGACTTACAAATGAGAACAATAGAAGCAGTTAAACTAACAGTAGGACAACAATATGTAAGTGCTATAACCCCTCTCAGTTTAATTTTAGTGCAGTTTTTTTTTTTTTTTTTTTTTTTATAGAATAGAAGAGAAGAGAAAGTGTTAATTCTACTGAATCAAGTGCTGCCGAAAAAGATACGTCTTCAGCAGTTTCTTAAAAGTGGCTACTGACTCAGAAGCTCTGGTTGAGTTAGGCAGATCATTCCACCAACAGGGAACAGCCATGGTAAAGGTCAGAGAAAGAGATTTTGTGCCTCTTTGAGATGGTACCACAAGACGACATTCGCTAGCAGAGCGCAGGTTTCTGGATGGCACATAAGTCTGAAGTAATGAGTTTAGGTAAGAGGGAGCAGTGCCAGTGGTCAAATAAATTCTTATCAAATTAAATGGTGGTACTGCTTTCCATCAGGCAGTGCTAAGGACAACCTTTAGAGCCCTGTGCTGGTCACACGTTTATGCATGAACGTGAAGCAAAAGTGAGTGACTCATGGGAAATAAATGTGAAGATGAGAACTGGGGGGGGGGGGTGGAACTTACATGGTGCACAGTCAATGAATTGCAGGTCGTCCAGAGCCGCTCCACCACTCACATCTTGTGTTCGTACAACTTCAAATATGAGAATAAAGTTCCTCAGGTTCCTCAGAGACACTTCCGCTCTTCTCCATTCCCTGTGCATCTGCCGCTCTGTCCACACCTCCTTCAGCTCATTTTCTGTCTGTCCATCACAATGAAGGCAACATGCTTACAACATTTGCTGATTCAATTACATATACTGTAAAAACCCAGACGTTTTACTAAATGCGTTGAAAAAAAAAATCATATTATGAAAAAAGTAAAAAAGCTATTAAAAAAAGAAAAAAAATGCATTCTTATCTAGACAAGTTTTTTAAAGTTACCATGAAACCAAGATTTACAATACTTATTTTAATTATTTTATTATTAATTTAATATTTTTTATGGAATGTGTCAGTGTTTATCAAAGATTTATCCATGCAAATCGTTTTTTTTTATAAATGATCCCCCGTAATCTTAAATTTTTAAAATCTTTATTCTGACATGGATGAGCTTCTTACAGCAACTGATATCTATTGCACATAATCATAACCCCCTTGAGGTATGTTTCATAGCAAAAATGTGAAGTGCTAAATGGTTTATCTCAGCTAGGAATCACACATAACACAGCACTGAAAAGTCTTGCAAGAACACGTTTCGTAAATTTCAGCTTATGTCAAATAGAGCTACTGTATTAAGACCTCCACACACATTCCCTGATTTAAGTGTTATATTCCAGTTGCACTGTATGTTTGCTCCACCTGGCAAGATCTCAAGTGTGCTGTTTATTAATTTTTGGAGCTGTAAAAAGTCAGTGTGCGGACATTACTCTTCTTACCTCTAAGACAGACAAGTACCTTAATAAAGAGACGGATGATTCCTGTGGCTTTTTCAGAAATATAGTACCAGAAGGCAAGTTTACATGTGGCACTAGACTCCTTCCACACAGAACTTCTCATGTGAGCTTTATCACCCTTCAATCCCACAGGGGTGGCTGCCAGATATACAAAGTGGCCTGTGTTGAGAGAGAGACTGACGTTAATAATGTTGTGCTGCTCTACCTACAATATGTGAAAATTAGCACACTATCCTTGACATAGTATTTTTAATGTAACCTATATAATTTTAGATGCACTAAACCTAATCTGGCATACAACCGAATGGAAGTCTAGGAATTCTGAAAATGACAAACAGATGAACTCAAACAGGGATAAGGCTATGGAGAACTATGGAGTCCCATAGTTCTGTTGATGCTAGAAAACCTTGCTTATGGAAGGACATACAAGGAATGGAAATCTTACAACTACTTGAATAATAAAGATATCTTGCTGAGATGGAGTGAAGCAGGGCGCCAAATCAATAAAGGAGGCTTTATTACAGAGACAGGGGCTCTGAAATCTTAAACCATGTCTAAGATTGGCAAGTCTTTACAGCTTACAAGAGAAATTAGAACATTTATTTTCATTCCACCAGACTGGGTGTATCATTATTTAAAAAAAGTTTTAAATGCAAGTTCGGGAGGAGCCGAATCATTTGGTCCTGTCAGTCATCAACACAAGCGTAGCATTCTTCAAGTCGCCTCAGTGACAATTCTTCCAGCATCCCTCTACCTTCCCACCACTTCCTTTTTCTACTCTTCCTTATTTTATCCAATAACCTACTGTTATCAGGGGTAAGCTTGGAACTTGAGCCAAGCCGATGAAAGCAAGCGAAATTCATTTACCATTATTCATTAAGGCTGTACGGGCAGGGCAGGTGAACTCATGCATCAAAAGAACAAAAGCAAATTCTCTCGCTAAATGACTGGAAGTTCAAGTATCACCCCCATCTCAGAAACCTAACCTTTACAAAGTACTGATGTCTCCCAGGGAGCTTACAACAAATGGGTAGAAGCAAATAAATACATCTTAACCCTTAAAGGAGAAATCCGGCGCAAAATGAACCTTTGGTCTAATAAAACATTGGTACCTAGTCAACTGTTCTCTGAGATTTGTTTTCATGATAATCGAATGTAAAGAGTTTTATCTCTAAAAACTGTTTAGCGTATAACGCTAGTAATGGGGGCATATAATAAGTAAAAAGAAATCGCTAGTTTATACCACTAACAAGGCTCAAAATAGCCCCACACGAACACAGTAACATAATGAGGGTCTCTACATGCAAAACGAAGCATTGAGAACTTTGTAAGTGTACAGACCGTTTAATAAGAAGATATTTTATAAAGGCAGTCCACTTCGTGTATACAGACAGGAGCCATCTTTGGAAAACAGTCTCGACTAATCAAACCACGAACGACGTGCTAAGTGAGCTGAACTGTATGAAGTTCGGTGAACTTCTGAACTGTATGAATGGCGTTCGTGGTTTGATTAGTGGTTTTAAAATATCAAAATAGTGTAATTACACAGGACTGATTTTTTTTTTTGCTTTCTATCTTTAGTCTTATTGAACAGGTAGATGAGCTGTAGACACATTATTTACAGCATGTTTCTAATGTGGGTGTGAAGGTCTTCGGGTGGCAGTTTGGTTAGGCCTCCATGTGAGATCCATGCATTTTGCTTAAACATATGCAGCAGCATTCAGTAAAGTCTTACCACTTTCATTCTTAAATGTATGATCATGAGGAGGTCTGATCATATGAACGGAGCCAACTCCAAGAGCCCAACTAAAGGTGTCCGCCAGGCTATTTTTCCAACCACAACGCCCATGTTCAAATAAGCAGGATGTCCCACAATCCAACTCATCAGATCCATCTCCACAGTCATCAGTAAAGTCACATTTCTGCTCTCGCTTGTAACAATTGGCATTGGTACACTGTAAAGAACCAGGTGGACAAGATCCTGTGAAGACACACACACAGATACATATTCTAATGAATAAAAACAAAAGATGTTTATTTTATTCTGCTCATCACAAAATGTTCATGTTTCCAGTACTGAATGCTTCTCTTACAATATACACTATCGTTCAAAAGTTTGGAGTCAGAATTTTTTTTATGTTTTTGAAAGAAGTCTCTTATGCTCACCAAGGCTGCATTTATTTGATCAAAAATACAATAAAAAGTGTAATGTTGTGAAATAGTACCTGGGAGTAATCGGGGAGTAGTATCTGTCTCAAATCTGCTACCAAGAATACAACCTGATGAGAAGATGATGTCATCCAGGCAGATGTGAACTCGAGTATTGAGTCCCACCTTGCCATCAAACATAATGCGGAAGTTGTCAGAAGATGAGAGAGACACTTCCTGTCTGCTCCAGTAGTTGCCTTGATTGCCAGTGAGGCTGAGTAAGAGTGAGCGACTGGAGTTTGTAGACATGTACACGTTTAGAGTGCCAATGTTGTCACCAGACATGTGGACGTAAAAGACCATCTTGGAAAGAAAGGAAGAATTGTAACATCAGCTAAAATATCACACTAGCAATAGTGCTGTTGTTCCAAATCACAGCGGAGCTGATGTTCTGACCAACAATACGATTGCTAGTGGAATATACTTTATACAACAATCAACAAAGAAGTGGTTAATACTAACTAACTTACATTTTAAATCAGGGGTGCAAAACTCAGGGCCACAGCCCTGCAAAGTTTAGCTTCAACCCTAATTAAATTAATCTGATCCAGCTAATCAAGTCCTTAATGCGTTTTTTGAACCATGCCAGATGAAAGACAGCCAATGGTGGCAATTTCTGTGGTCATGAATTCTAAACGGTGGTCCTATGTCAACGTCGGCCGTTGTCTTGCTACCAAAGATAGCCTATGATAATTTTCTGACAGTGCCAGAAATTTTGCATGATCATCTCACCGTGACCTACGTCTATACTGACGAGACAATAAAAATGCAATGCATGAAATGGCGTATTGATCAACGCAATATGGCGCTAAAACATAAAACTACTTACACAAATAGCCGCTGCATAAAAAAAGAGAGAAGAAAAGCTGCCTTATGAATGGCAATGGCGGGCCTGACCAAGGAGCAGTAGCAGGCCTGCCCGTGCACGGACACCGATAAGACACACCGGCATGGACATCGACACCGGCACGGACACCAACACAGATACATCAGCAAGGACACCGGCACGGACACACCGACAACGGCACAGAAACCGGCACGGACACCGGCATGGTCACGGACACCAACACGGACACACTGGCATGGACACACCGGTACGGACACCGGCACGGTCACGGACACCAACACGGACACACCGGCACGGAAACCGACACGGACACTGGCACGGTCACCAACACGGGCACACTGGCATGGACACACTGGCACGGTCACGGACACACTGGCACGGACACCGGCACGGACACCGGCACCAACACGGACCCACTGGCATGGACACATCGGCACGGACACCAACACGGACACACTGGCATGGACACATCGGCACGGACATGGACACCACCACGGACACCGGAACGGACAATGCCACGGACACCGGCATACGCATCTGTATGTATGCGTAAATGGCTCCTGTCAGTGTCTAACTGACTGGTGAATTAGTGAAAGAGTCTGACCTTTCAAGATCAGACATTTGATTGTGGCATGCATCTACTCACATGCACGTACACACAAATGTTGCTACTTTCACTAAGCATTTAAAACAAAATCTTAAAACAACAACAACAAATTGTCATTTACAATGTCTAAAAACGTCTAACCATGGCTGACAAGTACACACAGAAACTCCTCTTCAGCTGCTTCTTGTGATTGATTGATGGAAGCTGAATGGGAGGACAATGGGAAAATGAGTCTCCATGGGCTTATTATCTCATACGCACATACACACCTCTAAAAAGAATGAACAGTCTGTCAAGTTAGAGGAGATCCAGGAACATGATTGTCTTTCCACATAAACTGAAGCAAGCTTTGAAAGGTGCTCCTCTTTCTCACAGACACTGGGTCTCATTCATGAAACATTCGTAAATATACGAGTAAATATGAGAGTGATTTGCGCGTAAAGAGACCTTCCCGAAAACTCATCTCCTGATTTACAAATAAATGGAATTTTTTTCCATTTACAAATACTTCGTAAACGTCAGATGTGATAGTGAAATGTGTGTGTGTGTGTTAATGCATTCCAATCAGTCGTAAATGGGACGCGCGTGCACGCTCATTCTCAATTACCATAAATCCCGCCCATTAAATCCGACTGACAACTATATATGGGCATCATATTATGACACCAAACGAAGGATTTCAACATGTCTTCTCAAAAACGAATGAAAAAGAAAAATTTCTCAGATGTAGAAATCAAAGTTTTATTATCAGAAGTTCATTCAAAACACCACATTTTATTTTCAAGCGTAGGCTACATAGTGGCGTATCAGGTCCTAAAAAAAAAAGGAAGCTTGGCAGCATATTACAGATGCCGTTAATGGAGTTTCATATGTTAATCGAACAGTCCCAGAAGTAAAAAAAAAAAAAACGTATATAATTACTATATATAATATTTTTTCAAAATGCTGTGTAAATATGTACCCAATTAAGGTGAATTAAAATGCAGCCTTAGTTATTAATGAGCAAAACGTTCGGATGTTAAACTCACTATTTAAGCGTGGCTGGGAGCAGGTGTAGATTTCTTTCGTACCAACTAACATTTGGAAAATACGAACATTTGAATGAATCAGCAAATACATTAAGAGGTTTCATAAGGTACTGGGACATTTTTTAAGTTCCCGGCAGGGATGTTACAGAAATGGTGATGGATCCTTCTACCTTCAATGGTGTGTATGGTTTTGAAGGTGTAATACTACAAAACTTTAAAAGAACCAAAGAGGGGAAAAAGGGCCAGATTTAAAATTTGATTTCTAGAGAACAAATTTGTTAACACAAGATCAAATTTACCTTTGTCTTTTCAGATAAAAGAGTTAATTATACCATAAAAACATAATGTGGCAACTCAACTTTACTGTAAAATAAATGAACAAATAATAATCTATACAAATTTCAATATATTATTTTACTTTTAACATTAAAGGCATTTATATAAACCTTCAAAAATCTTTTTTGAAAATGGGAAACTACCAACTGTTAACTTCTGCAACACGGTTTCCAGAAGTCTATGTCGACATCTGCCCCACAGATCTCAGAAATGCTAATCTTATGCAAGAATGTCAGTTTTCCATCAAAAAAGGAAGCAGGTACATATGAATGAGACAAGGAAAAACAAAAGGAACCACCGGTCACAAGGGGGAGTCTATGGAAGTGTCACAAATCCAGCGTAGCAGGTCACCTCAGTCAAGCTATCATCAGCCGACACACAGCTGAACCACGTCTACCTATAGAAATACAACGCCTATCACATCATACCTATATATATATAAGGTCCATTCAGTATTATTAGCAGCTTTATCGTGTTGCTCAGGAGCTAAATACCCTTCTTTATCCCCAGCTCCTCCTCTCGTCCAGTCAGGACTTGGCCTTCTGATATTCCTCTTCGAATCAGACTATTTTTTCTTGAATGTTGTACATAAATCATTAAACATTAATATTATCTGCAATACATTTATGTTAGTTCTGTTCTGTTTACCCTAAGGGAATTATCACTGCTCTCCCTGCTCTTATCCATGCTAGGCTGCATGGATGGCTTGGAGTTCTTGCCCAGAACAGAACCATATCGCCAATCCAAACTGTATGCTGCTAATTGTCGATCATCTTTGACAATGGGCTCTATGCACGGCGGTATTTCCGGTGAAGGTCTAAGGATGCTGGATTACTTCCGCCGATCGTAGAGTCCAATGCTATACCGAGAATTTATATTGGTTGTTATACTCTATTGCTATACTAAAGAAACGTTAGTCACAAAAACAGACAAAACAGACACCCCTCATTTTGTTTATGCTTCTGTGTTTATTATATTAAATAAACATAACTATATATAAAATTACATCTAAACGTATTAAAGTTTCGTTTCAAAGACGAGAGGACAGTAAATTTTGAAGACTCTGCCATAATCCCGTTTTCCTCGGTTTTCCTCCGCTTTAAATCTCCCCAACCGGAAACGCAAGAGCATCCTTGCATCAAACGCGGAAGTTATGCGTGCATATAGCCCATTGTGGTCCAGACAGAAGTATCATTCGTGTACACTGCTTTTTTGCTTTCTTGATTGTTTCCATTGCAATTCTTAATGTAATGCAAGTACCAACTGATCTTGAACTACAGTGAAATAATTACATAAAAACACCAGTGAGCACTTACTTTGCAATCCTTGCTGCGGTGATGAAAAAGAGGTCCAAGGATTCGGGCAGTATCTCCTGTGTTCTGTGGAAAGGATCCTTCTAGATATAAGTAGTGGCCTGATGGTTTACGGAGGGTGTGATCAGTGGATGGTCCAGTCCCATGAGTGTGCATATTTCCTGGTTTTATCAACCAATCAAAGTCATCATCTTGGCTCTGTCTCCATGAGCAAAGGTCAAATTCAAAATTGCAGCGACCACTGTATCCCTCTGGAAAAGAAAACATTAATACTATTATTAGATTTCACTAGATTGTGAAAAATGTCATCATTCACTCATCCCTCGTGTCATTCCTAACCTGTAGGACTGACTTTCTTCTGCAGAACACAAAATAACTTATTTTGATGAATGCTGGTTTCCAAACAACAACTGTCCTTTTTATAAAAAAAAAAAAAAAAAAAAATCTTTCTTTTGTGTTCCATACTGTAGAACAAAGAAAGCCATACATGTCTGGAAAGACATGAGGGTGAGTAAATGATGACAGCATTTACATTTTTGTGTGAACCATCCCTTTAAAAAAAAAAACACGACTGCACAAGCAAAGCACATTTAATACAGTATGTGTGCCGGATGTAAAGTTATTCCATAAACAAAATTTGTGACTGCCAACTGAGATACAGTTGAACAAACATCTGGGAAAAAGTGACAGGAAAGAGGATGATTTGTTTCTCACTGCATATGTAATGATTCTCATCTGAGCCATCTCCACAGTGATCAATAAAGTCACACAAGTTGTCCTCAGAGATACAATGACCGTTGGCACAGATGAACTCGTTGTTATGGCAAGGAAGATCAGACGTTATTGGAGGGGCACAGTCCACAAATGCCACGTCATCAACAACAACATCACCCATGTAGCTGATGCCCCGCTTGGCTCGAAGAACCACCTATTGATTTTATAAAGCGACATGCTGTTAAACTGCAGTAAACTAATGTACTTTATTTGCTCCACAATACTTTCATACAGCTGCATAGTCAAATGCACAAATCAAAGCACAAATTCATATTTACCCTATGAGACATGTCAGGTAAACAGACTGATGTAAAAGCTGTCATACTGTACACATCATTCAGAATCAATTGATTGTCTTAAAAAAGGCAACAAGAATTTTCTTTAAATATATATATAAATATATACACACACACACACACACACACACACATACAGTATATAATATATACACACACATATATAAAGAGTTGAATTAGAAGTGCTTGAGAGCTGCTGCGTGAGTTAAAGGGCACTAAGGCCCCTGACAGTACACAGCAAAAGGGCACTTAGCACTAACGAGTGAGGGTATCATGAAGTATCTAGCACAATGAAGAACTATATTTGTAAGAGTGTTTATATATAAACAGTGTTGATACATATTAATTATGCAAAGGCCAGATGGAGAAAAGGTCATGATATTTCTTACCAAAGCATCAACAGTTCAAACATCAGCCTGACACTTAACATTTTACTGCACATTTCAGGAATACTAAACACACACATTTCTTCGATCACCTTTATAAAAAGTAAATACATTTCATAAATTCTACAAAATTTGTTTACCTAGTTAACACATACAGTTCAAAAGTTTGGGGTCGGTAAGATTTTCTAAAATGTCTTTGAAAGAAGCCTATTTTGCTCTCCAAGACTGCACTTATTTAATAAAATATACAGTAATGTTGTGAAATATTACTGCTAATTAAAATAACTATTTTAATATATTTTGAAGTGTAATTTATTCCTGTGATGGCAAAGCTGAATTTTCAGCATGATCTCTTCAGTGTCACATGATCCTTCAGAAATCAGTCTAATATGCTGATTTTCTGCTTAAGAAACATTTATCATATCATCAATCATGTTTCTGTCAAAAACAGCAAATAAGTTGAAATAGAATTTTTTCTATTTTTTCTAAAACATTTGATCAGTGTCACGTTTTGGTTTGTTCATGTCATGTTCCAAGTCTGTCATGTGATTCCCTGTTTGTCATGTGATCCTGCCATGTGTCTTGTCATTGGTTAATTGTCTGTTCATTGTTCACAGGTGTCCCTTGTCCTGTCATTAGTCTGTGTATTTAAGCCCTCATTTTTGCCATGTGTCTTTGTCAAGTATTGTTTTCTGTGACCACTGTTGCGTAAGTCCATGCCACGTCATGTTTTGGTTTCATGTTATGTTTTGATCCTGTTATATGTTATTGTTTGAATAAACTGCACTTGGGTTCTCTCGCTACAACTTGCCTCCAGTGGATCCTTACAGAATACTTGACCTGCAACAATGAACCCAGCGGTTGCCCTCCTAAATCTACGCCAAGGGAATCGTCCCCTGGAAACATATGTGGAGGAATTTTGTAAACTATGCTATCCGGTAGATTTCAATGACGTGGCTTTAAAAGACATTTTTAGGTTTGGAATTGAGTCTCTTCACGTCATGGCTCCCGATCTTGAGGATCTTCACGTCATGCCTGACCAGCCTGAGCTTCTTCACGTCAGTCCTGCCGAGCCTGCACTTCACGTCAGTCCTGCCGAGCATACGCGTCGTGCTACGCCCGCCGAGCCAGAGACTGTTCACGTTATGCCCGATGATCCAGAGGCTGTTCACGTCTGCCCAGCCAGAGACCCCGGACAAGATGGCCGCCGCCGAGCCGGTGTCCCCGGACAAGATGGCCGCCACCCAGCCGGTGTTCGCCCTGGCTCCCTGCACTGCAGGATCCGCCCACGGCATGCCACAGCCCGTGTCCTGGCCCACCATCACTCCCCCTAGACCTCCTCTAATCCACCACCCTCCTGAAGTTATGTTTTGTGTTGGTTTTGTCGGGTGTCAGGAGTCGCCCTTAGAGGGGGGGATCTGTCACGTTTTGGTTTGTTCATGTCATGTTCCAAGTCTGTCATGTGATTCCCTGTTTGTCATGTGATCCTGCCATGTGTTTTGTCATTGGTTAATTGTCTGTTCATTGTTCACAGGTGTCTCTTGACATTAGTCTTTGTCAAGTATTATTTTCTGTGACCACTGTTGCGTAAGTCCATGTCCATGGTTTTGTTTCATGTCATGTTTTTGTTCCCTTTCGAGAGGTTCCTCCTATTGCGTAAGTAGCTTACGCTATGGGGAAAACTCCTTTTCTCGAGAAATATTGAAGTCTTTATGTAAAACGCATTGCAGCTGCACAGCATACAGCAATGAGCGAGGCAGCTCGGTCATTGGCTGTGCTGCGGCAACTGCACGAACCTATGACGGGGCGACTCTGAACCCGCTTCCAATGAGCGTGCTTCGCGCCCGCGCGCGTCAGAGCCCGCCAAGATGGGCGTGGCCAAGGGCTATATATTGGGCGCCCCGTCGTCTGAGTTCTTTAGATTTAATCTCCTTCAGCAAAGACCTTCTCTTCGCTGGATCCTCCGGATTTCTTGGAGTCTTTTCGCCGCCGCCGTCGACAAGCCTACAGCAGGACTGCTTTGAGGATGCCGGCGCCTTCAGCCGCCTTCGATCGCCTTCTGCTCAGCCATCCGGCGTGCATCACCTTTATATCCTTTCAAAGCTTTACAGTGTTCGCCCTCGCGACACTTTTCTAAAAGAGCAAATTCAAGGCGTTGTTTCAAATGCCTTCCTGCGCCCCGTGTCGAGGCCCTCTTCAGGACGGGGATCGTCACATCATTTCCACCTGCTGCTTGGGACCGGACCACGCAGAGGCTGCCCTTACTCGAGGCGGATGTCCCGAGTGTGACGCCCTGGGCCTCACCGAGCTGCGCGCTCGCTTCGCCGTTTTCACCGCGAAAGAGCCCACTTCCACCGTCCTACCATCCCCTCTGGTCGAGCCGCGCAAGAAGAAGCGCCGCTCACAGAGGCCGCCAGAGCACGCGGTTTGCAGTGATGTCATGCCGGGCCAATCCCCGCGTGCTTCACCACCACCCGAAGACTCCCCGCCGCCAGTCCAGTTCACACAGGCGGACCAGCACCCCTCCAGCGGAGCGATGGGTCTCGTCTCGTTTGGCGCGTCAGGGGATGACGACGACAAGGATGACAGCCTTTCCTGTGATGCTGCATCCGACGACTGGCCGGGCTCGTCCTTCGACCCCGCACCATCGACATGACACCATCGGGCACGAGCGTGGGCTCCAGCATGGACTCGGAGATCGTCCGCATCCTATCTAAGGCCGTGGAAGACCTCGGGCTCAATTGGTCTTCCCCGGAAAAACCCGCCCGCAGCCGACTGGACGAGTGGTTCCTGCAGGGGCGCCGACAGGGCCCTCGGCAAAGGCCCTCCCCTTTCTTCCCGGAAGTTCACGACGAACTCACGAAGTCGTGGAAAGCCCCGCACTCCGCTCGCCTGAAGCCTTCTTTTTCTTTGTCGCTCTCCTCTGTGGACGGCGCGAAAGAAAGAGGCTATGAGGGGACTCCGCCCCTCGAGGAGGCTGTGGCCAATCACCTGTGTCCACCCTCCAACGCTGGATGGAAAGCCAAAGCTTCTCATCCCTCGAAGCCTTGCCGGTCTACTTCAGCTCTCGCCGGTCGCGCATACGCCGCCGCCGGCCAAGCTGCATCAGCACTTCACTCTATGGCTGTCCTCCAGGTGTTTCAAGCTAAACTTCTCCGCAGTATGGACGAGTCTGGACCTGATCCTGAGGCATTCAAGGACCTGCGCAGCGCCACCGACATAGCACTGCGAGCCACAAAAGCCACCGCCCAATCCATCGGCCGTGCTATGGCTAACCTAACTGTCCTTGAGCGCCATCTGTGGCTGACGCTAACAGAGATGAAGGATGCAGATAAGGCGTCATTCCTCGACACGCCTATCTCCCAAAGCGGCCTGTTCGGACCAGCGGTGAGGGAGTTCGCTGAGCGCTTCACCGAAGCCCATAAGGATTCGCAGGCTATGCGTCACTTCCTGCCCAAGCGATCTAGCTCATCGCAGAGCCGCCAAAGGTTTTCTCGAGAAATATTGAAGTCTGCTCAGCAGCAGCGAGCTAAGACGGCGCCTCCCGTCTCTCAGCCCAGACCTGAAACTGACTTTCGTCGCCGCTCGCGCTCTGCCAACAGGAAGCAACCGCCCGAGCGACGGGGACCTCGGCCCAAGATTGTGCTGAACCCAGAGCCTCGTAAGTCCTCCTAGCTACAGGGAGAAAAAGGGAGAGCGCGTGTCTCGCAAAAGCCGGACCGTTCTCTCCAAAACGTTTAAAACATTACCCAGTCCCCTTACAGGCGGCTGGAAATGTCTGTACAGCAGCCAATGGGCCAGCCACACAGCTCGCTCACCTGCAAACAAACGCCGTTTTTACGGCGACACACAGAAATCACATAAAGAGCCATTTTCTGCCTGTGTCATTAAAGGGTCACGTGTCCACACCAAAGTGCGCATTCCCACATATCAAAACTGTCAAAGCAGTGCCAAATGCTTTCCCAGCTCAGGCTGGACGCCCCATAAATGTAGATTGTGTGCCAACTGTCACGTATGCACCACTACACATAAGCACTGTTCCCACAGTTATAAACACTTCCCCAGTAAAAGCGGGAAATTCTATAAGAGTAGCGCGTGTGCCCGCTGTTATGCACGCACCCCAACTCACAAACACTGTTTATATGGCCAAAAACCTCCCGCCATGAGCGGGAAGTTTTATGAAAGTGGCGCGCGTGCCTACCACAGTCTATGCACCCCCACTCATAAGCACTGTCCATACAGTCTTAAACATTTCCCCATCTCACACTGTGAGTTTTATGGCGAGCGTGCCTGTAATCTCACACGCACCCCTGCACTCGGCATTCAACAAAGCTGCTCAGCGCGCGCCCGCGCCTCTGAGAGCTGTAAGCTCGGTATTAGCACAAGGCGATTTGCCGGCGGAAGCCATACGTCACTGCGACACGCCCCCAGCCAGCATTCAGCCCATATCTGTGCGAGCGAAAGCTTGGGAA